CCAGACACTCCCTCACACAGCTCCTCACACACTCTCCAGACACTCCCTCACACACTCTCCAGACACTCGCTCAACAGCTCCACACACACTCCCCAGCCTCTCTTTTTGCTGGGCTACAGGTGTAAGTACAGGTGTAGTTGTAGCTGTCAGGAATTGTGTTTTACAGCAGCTGTTTGCTGTGTTTGTGTACAGCGAAGTGGGGTGTCTGGCTGTTGTAAACAGCTGTGCTGCCCTGTGTTGCAGGTCTGATTATCGATGCCTTTGGAGAGCTGAGAGACCAGCAGGAGCAGGTGAAGGAGGATATGGAGGTAGGCTGTTCCGCTTGAAGAGTAGTCAGGTGTTATTCCTACAGTCCCTCTTGTTCCTGATCGCGCACAACAGAGATCTAGACATTTCCTGGGCTGGTGCACTTCTGGACTGTTCCCACCCTCTTTAATTCCTGTGCCTTTTCACCGAGCTCATGTTATTTCCTCTACAGACCAAGTGCTTTATATGCGGGATCGGCAGTGACTACTTTGACACGACTCCGCATGGCTTCGAGACGCACACAATGGAGGAGCATAACCTCGCCAACTATATGTGAGTCTCTGATCGATCGGGACCGGCCCTCGACCACTCAGTCAAGTAGTGGATTCAAGGGGCAGGCGGCAGTGAAGGTGAAGAACAGTAGGCTGTGATTTTACTATTGTGTGATAGCCATGATGAAGAAGGGGATGTCTTTTAGATGAGAATTAAGGGTAAAGTCTGTCTATATACCAAGGATAGAAAATTATAGACCAGAGCACAAGCACAGGGGTTAGCTTCACAACAGATTCCAAAAGCCACTCCATTTTTAGCATTGTGACACGCTGTCACTGCCAAAATCCTAATGGGTCCAGTCAGGGCCAGTCAGCCTGTGTGTCTTTTAGTATGTCAGAAAAGAGGACGTCAATGTCAATTTATTAGCCCTGTTAGACAAAACATACTGTACGTGTACAGTAGTTTGTCTCTTACTGAGTCAGTCTGCATTTCAGTGTGTCACTCAGTCACTGTGTCGGTCAGTGTCTCTGTCACTGAATCAGTCAGCATGTCGATCAGTTAGTTAGCTAGTGATTGTAATGTTCTTAAACTAGTGATTCTAATTAATAAATAATAATTCTCTCTCCTGCAGGTTCTTTCTGATGTATTTAATCAATAAGGATGAGACAGAGCACACTGGACAAGTGAGTCATTCTTTCTCATTGCCTGACCTCCTGGGTCCTTGCCCATAACCAGTATGTCTGCCTATCTGTCTTTGGCATCAGTCTGTGGCTGGCCTCCTCCCGCACTGGTGTGAATGTGGTTTGATACTACAGTATCCTAGCTGACTCGCTATTCCTTGCTCTCAGTACAGAGTGAGATACTGTACACCTCTGGCTCCAGCTGCAGGTGATACTGTCTCTTCAGCACTGCGCTGATGCGGATCTGTGTTGTGTGTGTGAGAGAGCAGGATGAAGTAGAACACGAGCAGGAAGTGTCTGGCCCCTGCGCGGGTTCAGATAGCATGTGCTTACCCTGGCGTGGCTCACACTGCTGTGACCTCAGTGTGTACAAGAATGCTGCTGTCTAAAGAAGCCTGCTCTGCCATGGACATGGAGAAAGAGACAGACGCAGAACTCTCCTGTCTCAGTGCTAATGCTGCTTTTTTCTCTTTTTTCTCTCTTTCCTTCCCTCTCCCCCTCTCCCTCTTCCTCCCCCTTCCCTCTCCCCCTCTCCCTCTTCCTCCTCTCCTTCCCTCTCCCTCTCCCCCTCTCTGTCTCCCTCCTCTCCTTCCCTCTCCCTCTCCCCCTCTCTGTCTCCCTCCTCTCCTTCCCTCTCCCCCATCCCTCTTCTTCCTGTCCTTCCCTCTCATCCTCTCCCTCTTCCTCCTCT